TTTTTCCCTTTTCCAAAGTTTGACTTGTACTTATTCTTATTATTTACTCCCTTTGTCCCACTATTTTTGTCCACCTTTCCTTTTTTTGATTGTCCCACTATTTTTGTCCACCTTTCCTTTTTTTGATTGTCTCATTGTTTTTATTCACTTTCCTTTTTAAGTACTCCCTCCGTCCATCAAAGATCTTCTCATTGTGCGTTACGAGGTTTGACCGACTTTATTTTCAATTCAATTTATTTGATTGTAAGAATAAAATTTAATAATAAAATTTATATAGTAAAAAAGTACATAAAAAGTTCTACGAAACTAGAGGTGACAACACTATTTTATTTTATGAAATGAGTAGTAAAAATAAACAAACAAAGTGATTAAAATTTGACCCTGTAAATAGTGTCTAGGAAGATCTATGGTAGACAGAGAGAGTATCATTCAAATGCTCTAATTATTCATTCTACCCTCCACTCAATTTTATTCCATTTGACTCCATTGTTTTGGAGACAGGGATATATCACCTCCAACAAGAATCAGTTTGTCCGATGCTACGTCATCGTGATATACATCGGCAAGATTTCGGCGAGTGCCCTTGTCCTCTTCCTTAATCCTTCGATCATTAATTTTAGGTGAAATTGCTAATTTCAAGGATTCATATACCAGATCTCTCGAGTTCCTTAGAATAAAAGTCATGGTAAACAAGCAGAGCAATAGAGAGATGACAGAGTAGCGTAGAAACATGCAACATCGAGAAAGCACAGCAACGGAGCAAAGCGAGACAACACAGTAACGGATCAACGACGAGATGGCACCGTAGTGGAGCAACTACGAGAACACAGCAGCGGAAAATGTTGGCAGCCACTTCTCAAGCTTTGTTCAATCTTTTGATGCCTAAGCTGGGCATGTGGAACCCTTAACTTTAACTTGAGGGGGGTGTTTGCGAAATAAGAAGGAAGCTGGATCGAAGAAGAAAACCGAATTCCAAAGGGATTGAATTTAATATCTTTCATAGTTTGTTTAATTCTTGTTTTAGAGCCTGTTTTTTAGGACTGGAAAAAAAGAGATAGATGTTGAAAGAAACTGAAAAAAACTAGAAAGAACCAGAAGGAACTGGAAAGAACTGGAAGAATTGGAAGAAACTCGAAGAGACTACAAGAAACAGGAAAAAACTGGAATAAAATGAAAGAAACTGGAATGAGTAGAAGAAAGTGGAAAAACTTCAAAAAATTGGAATACTTAAAAAAACTTTAAAAAAATTATTTTAGTGTATTTTTATATTATTATTATTCTAATTGTTGTTGTTATATGTTGTTGTTGTTGTTGTTATTATCATCACCATCACCATCATCATCACATTATCTTAATGAATGTCTTTAAGATAAAAAAACATTGTTATTTTTCAAATACAAAAAACTACTTTTGCGAAAAAAAGAATTATAATACAAAGTTAGCATAAATCTCAAAATGTTAAATTTTAAAATGTTTTTGTGGTTACGTTGCACCTTAATTTATTTATGCAGCATTTATTATAAATAATATATTTGTAATTTTACTTTATATATTACAAGATTTTGTTTTAAATATCAGACGTGCAACATAATGTAATCAAACCTATTTTTCTTTCTTGATTGACATTTAATTTTTATGTTTTACTCATATTTTAGGCTTTTTTCTAAACTATTTTGGTTTTCAATTTTTTTATATAAAAATTAGGAAAATTAGAAAATTTTGCGTAATAAAGAGAAAGGTGGGAGGTCTTATATAAATTTAGATTAATAAAACATTCTATGTAACTATTTTATCCATACTTTTTAATAAAGTTTAAATTATTGATATTTTCTTGTTTTATGATGTAGATTAATTAATATACAGAAAAATTATCTTATTCATATTAAAAAGTTGAAGAAAAAACAATGATTGTGAATCGTAAAAATAGATGAACATAACAGTTTTAATAATAATTATAATAATAATCATATTAAAAATATATCGTTTTTTGAATAATTGGTTGGGGAGTAGAAAGAGTTCAAAAAAACGAGCATAGTTGGAAGAATTTAGAAGGAACTAAAGGAACTGGAAGGGACTGGAAAAAACTAGAAGATACGAGAAGAGTTTAAGCCATAGAGAACAAGTTCTTAGTAGGAATATAAATTTCCATATTTATTTTATCTCTTATAAAAAGAGAGCTAGATTTTTGTATTCACAAGATAATTTAATACAGAAATATTTTCTCATCTTATTATTTTCTACATATGTTTTGTGTGTTGTTTGTATCATTTTGACCGTAATGCGGAGGACTACTCTTGTCTTAATGAATTTGTTCAATTTGACTTTTTTGAGTCAAACTAGACAGATTTTAATTACTCCTCTCAGTTAACAAAAAATTACATTGCATATTGGTATACAAATGATTTAATTTGTAATATATTTTTACAAATTATTCCTTTAATTAATGCATAGTGTAAATGTAACTTTTTTATTTAAATAATAATCAAAATTTTTATTTTGATTCGAAAAAATAAAAATTAATCAAACTCATTATGATGGAGGAGTATAAAATAATCAAAGGTATATAAACCTATTGTAATGTGAAGACCATAATACTAGAGTTGTAAACGGATATTAATCGGATCGGATGTGTCATTACTAAATCCGTATCCGTTTATTTTTGTCGAAATGTCGAATTCGGATATGGATTTTGACGGATACTGAAAATCAAAACTGTATCTGTGCCTGTCGGATATCGGATAAATCCGAATCGGTTTCCAATTTTTAAAATCAAATTTAACAATACTTTAATATTAAATTAGATTAAAGTCAAACTATTATTAAATCAATTATAATTTGTTATGGGATAATTATTTTCTTTGTTTTCATGATTTATGATATTCTACGATAACTTCATATGATAAAAAGAGATACATAGCACACATATATACATATTTTCATATGTTGCATATATTTTTATGTGTCTACACATTTATTTTGTGTATAAAAATGTTTTATACTTTGAAATATCAATAGAGAAACAAAATATAAACACAAGAGATTTGGAAAAACCATATATAACGGATCGGATATTTGGATAAACGGTTATTTAAACGGATGCATATTCGGATTGGATTTTAAACGGATCGGATATACAATTACCAAATTTGTATCCATTTAGTAATCGGATATCCTTAATCGGATACGAAGAATATCTGTTTAAAACGGATGCGGATATTTTCACTTTACACGGATACGGATGCGGACGATAATCGAATTTTCGGCTATCCGTTGACAGCCTACATAATCCTTTATTAATAATAGAGCGGTCCGGTTCTAGTGACACCAGAGAACGGTGCCACTGGGTTTTTGGGGCACCTCCGGTGCTCCGTTCGTAAAATTGACGGTTCCTACCTCCCTAACCCACCCCTAAACCCCCTACCCTACCCCCACCCCTGCACCCCCACCCCAACCCCGCCGTAAGCCCCCCACAAAATGTGTGGCTATTATGCAATACATAATAGCCACACATTTTGTGGGGGGCTTACGGCGGGGTTGGGGTGGGGGTGCAGGGGTGGGGTAGGGTAGGGGGTTTAGGGGGTGGGTTAGGGAGGTAGGAACCGTCAATTTTACGAACGGAGCACCAGAGGTGCCCCAAAAACCCAGTGGCACGGCTAGTGGCACCGTTTTCCAGTGTCACTAGAACCCCACCGATAATAGACTGCTTCTGTGTATACTTTTTTCTGCACCCTCTCACATAATTCTTTTATATTTTTTATTTAAAAAACGATGCACATCAAGATAGTAAGAATTTAATTTATTTATTTGCTTTATATGTAGATCCATAGTGAAAATTAGATCTATCATACAATTTGCCTTAATAGAAATGATTCATTAATCATTTTTAATATACACTATATATTTTTGTAAATGTATTTTTTAAGTCAAGAATTTAATTTGATAGACAAATTTTTATTAGTCCTAAAAAATACTACGTATTACTCAAATTTATTGTAAAATTAATTTTATAATACTAGCATTAAAAATACGTGGCAAACACCATAGTTTTTTAAATCATAAGTGGAGTATTTGATTTTCCATTTAAATATAACAGAGATAAACACGTTTTTTTGGTAAATTCTAAAGTGGACTTAAAGTTTATCATAAACCTACAAATAAGTAAAATAAATGTTTCTAACAACTTAAATAAACATTTATTTTTTAAATAAAACAATAAAAAAAGATTATTTGTATGAAAAAATCCACAAAATTGACATGCACTCAAAATGCACTAAAGAAACAACTTTTTCTTAATTTATCACATTTTCTTTTCTTCTTATGTTACTCTTTGTTAAATATGTAAATTATATATTCCATATTTAATATTACTATTATATTTGGTAGATTCCTTGATTGTATAGGATTTACATTTAATATGCCTCCAACGTGTATATACGGGGAGGTGATTTACTTGTAATTATTATCGAATAATATAATTCTTCATGGTATCGGAGTCAACCCTAGGCTAACCCCGATACGTTTTTCCTCTCTCGGCGCTGCCGGCTTTGTCTCACCCCAGCGCCGTCCTCTCTCTCCCTATCTTCCTCACGACAGCAACTCCCTTGCCGGCCAGCCTCCTCTGCAATCTGCAGCCACCCCACCCCAGCCGAACATCACAGCAGCAGCAGCAGCAGCCTCCCCTCATCATGTCATCCGAAAAATCAACCTCTTCCTCTACTCCTCATCTCGCCTTCACCATCGTTTCAAACGTCAAACTCCAGGTTCCCATAACCCTTAGTTTCTCAGAACCAAATTATAAAAAATGGAGTCGTCTCTTTCTTCTATTGGTTCGGCGCTTCAATCTTGAAGGTTTTCTCACCGGTGCAACAACCTCCACCGACAAAGATGATGTTGACTGGTTGCAACTTGATGCTCTCATTCAAGGATGGATCCTATCTACCGTTAATGACGAAGTTTCGGATCTCATTATCTCCTCCACCACCTCTGCCGCGGATCTTTGGAAAGCTATTCATAATTTATTTCACGACAATAAAGCCGCTCGAGCCATGCAATTGGAGCAACGCTTCTACAACACCGTCAAGGGCGCATCCACTATCGCCACTTATTGCCAAACTTTGCGAAATATTGCCGATTGGTTAGATGACGTGGATGCCCGAGTGACGGAGAATCAGCTCGTTTTACAAACTCTACGTGGTCTTCCCGAGGATCTCGACTCCCAGGCGTCTGCAATTCCAAAAACCCCCGCAGACTTTCATGGAGACATGATCTGCGCTTCTCCTCCTGGAAGGACAACATCCACCACCAGCTGCTCCCGGTGATGAGGGGACTGTCTTGGCCACCCTCGGCCACGGTGGACACGTCAGTTTCCGGCAGCAGGGCCGCGGTGGTGCGCCTGCAGGCGGCGGGCAGCAGGGCGGCAGTGGCGATGGACAGCACTATGGCAGACAGCTTCACGGCGGACAACCTCAGGGCAACGGCGGACGCGAGTACGACTATGGTGGACGACCAAACCGCGGTCATAGTCGAGGTCGTAACTCTGGATGCAACTCCCAGACTACTTCAACGAATTTTGCACCCTGGCAAACCCCTTACCAAAACCCCGGCCCAGGCCTACTAGGCCCACTTCCTACCCCCCACCACTTCCCTGCCCAAGCCCACTTCACCTCCCCCACTTACCCATATCAACCCGCCCCTCTACCCAACCCCTACCCAAACCCTCCCCTATACCCGAATCCCC